GACGCACTGGCCCAAGCAGAAGCAGAAGCCCAGGCTACCCATTTAAATGGCATTTTATTTGCAATTTAAAATGCATTCCATAAAGTACATATTCCACATGAAATTCGTTTTGGAAGAGACCGATTGTTGGGCTGGTATTTTGTACCAGGAAGCAGTACAGGAAGCAGTGAGCAGTGCCAGTACCTGTTCGATCGTATGAAGCTGTCCTTGATGCATAATGGAAAGGTTTTTCTCTGCAGGTATATTATAGCTGCACACTCCTTGAAATTCAATTTAAATAGCATTATATCGACAGTAGTAGCCACGAGCGATGAGGTTTAAGGATCTGCCTGACGGAAAATTCAACCGCATTGATTAAAGGCAAGTGTCCTTCATTTCTATGGATAACGAGTATTTGCATTTAATCTGCTTTCCCATCTAATCTCCTAAACACTTCTCGCCCCGCACCTCGACTAAATGGCGTCATGCGTTTGGCTGGTGGAAGGTGGAAGCTGGTGGGGGGAGGCCCATTCTCACGCCCTTAGCTAAACATTTATTTTGCTAATAATTTATTTATATGCCCTGTCAATATATACATGATGTAAGTACTCGGCCCCGCCACAGTCTGCTCCCCTCGGGGCACGCACACAATTTGCTGATATAAGCAGAAAGAAGACAAAACTGTTACGGCAACAACGAATTGATTTACTTTACGAACGTCAACGCTAGAGACTCCTCCTACGCTTGAGACTACGGCTACAGCTAAGGCTGCTCTGCTCTGCTCTGCTCTTCCCGGCTCCCCTTCAACTGCAGGAAGAAGACGTTGACGATGACGACGATGACGACCACGACGCGATTATTATGCACCCCTGAAAGAAGTCGATGTCGATGTCGTTGTTGTCGTTCTAGTTGCCGTTGTGGCTGTCGTTGTTGAGTCAGTGACTCATATCATTATGGCGCTCGCTCATGTCCCGAGGCGCCACGCGCCTTGTATCACCCACTCCATTGCCATATCGCTCCACTCCATTCCTGGGGACCTTCGTCTACATTTTTTATGTCTGTTTGGCCGCAAACCGCACTCGATTTCCACATGAATAGGCCAGGCCAAGACGGGGCCGGCTTAGGATCAAAATGGAAATGAGACAGACAGACAGACAGTCGGAGAGACAGATAGAGTGAGAGGGAGAGAGAGAGAGAGAGCGTGAAGAGATGTTGGTCTACCTTGTTTTCCTTCTTGGCCATGCCATTCCATTCCATATTCCGCTTGCTCTTCCACCTCTCCCAATTTCTTTTTCTGTGTTTGCCTCATTGATTAATGCGTAAATATTCGTTCCATGGCTCTGAGCCCTGGTCGTTATCGTCTTTGAACTGAATCGAACTGGATTCTCGGGGCTTTAAAAGCAGGTGGGTGGGCTTTAAGGCGAGAGTGCACGTTCGTTCAATGTCCTTTGCTGTCATACAAAATATGTTGATAATTATCTTGAAATCACGTGAACACTTGGGGGCATGCCACTGCATGCCAGTGGCAACAAAGTGTTAACATGTACACTGAGCCAAAACAAATCTAGATCTAGATTTTAAGAACAAATCCGCATTAATCGGCATCAAGCAGGCATGCTACAGTGTGCATAAATCTGCCATATTATACGTAGTATGCAAGGGAAATTAATTTAAGAATATACATTTTGTGGACATTGATTATTACGAATTTCTTGATAAATTCCAGCCCATTTTTCCTCAGTGCACAGGACACACCTGCAAGAATGATGGGTTTTTATGGCCTGGGTGGGTTTTGAGTCTAAAGTTCAGCGTTCCAGCGTTCACTGTTCAGCATTCAGCGCTCTCTGATCTAATAGAACAACACACACACACACACACACACACACATACACACTCACACTCACATGATAGCGATTACGTAACGCGACAAGTGCCATCAATCATATTTAGGAGCAGTCAGGACACGACACGAAGCATTCAGTCGGGACTCTCTAGGCAACGATAAATGATTGCCACCATTTGTTGTACTTGCTTCCGGCTTCTTGTGGCAGCATTTAACATTTTTAACTGGCCTAAATCCAGCCACCGAAAATAGTAATTACATTTCAGAGGATAGCAGCCCCCCTCCCCCTGCTCTATGGTATGTATGTGCCGCAAAGGCAGGAAAAGACAAAAGAATAATGGGAAAAAAGGGAAATGGGTTGAGCGGAAAATGAAAGATAACTTGAAAACAATTTCTTATGTGGGATTTGCAGGGCCTGGCCCCCAATCCTGAAATTGGAAACGTTGCAAACACTGCATAGTGGTCTAGCGGTTTAGGGTTTAGTGTGAGGGATAGGGAGAGGGAGAGGAAGAAAAGCGACTAGATGCTGAGCTGCTGATTGGCCGGCACGCGGGAAGACTACTCTGTCTGCCCATCCCCATCCCCATCCCTGAGCACTCACATGGAGCTCATCTTGATAGTGGCAGCGGATTAAGCAGCAAAAACGCATGAAACCGCCTGTGGGTGGGTGGTTGTTGTAGTGTGGCACTGGCACTGGCATTCGCGTGGCAGTGGCAGTGGCAGGCCATGACGTCAGCGCGCGGGGCCAAGTAACGAAAATAAACCAAAGCAGCCGAAGACACAAAGCTGCAGCTGAAGCACAAGGATTACGAAAGGATTCGTTTCTAACGAGATTGACAACAAACCGCATTGGCGTACCCCCCTCCTACCGCCCACCCACATGAGAATGGGTGAATGTTTTTTGTTTTTGTTTTGTTTTGTGTGGGTGCAGCATTTTTATTTCAACGCTTTTGAAGTTATCCCAAGGATACCCTGCATAGGATAATGGGGTTACTTTGACTGTAGATAATTCTAAGAATGTTTTACAGATGCAGGAAAACATTTTCTGAAAGCAGTTCCAAATAGTGTGCTATTTTTACTGGGTTCTATAGTTGTCAGAGGAAACTGTTCCTTTAAGGCATCAACTTAGAATGCTAATATCTGGTTATGTTCTTAAAAATATGTGTTACACATTATTTAGAATTAAATATGAATATCTATATGCTTCCTGAGTTGAAGGCCCAAGTTGCTATAGCTACAAATTATATTAATTATATATATGTATAAATAAATAAAATATATTCTTGAGCAGATTTTGGCATACTTAATACTCGTTATGGTGATGGTAGCTTCCATTCCTGGAACCCATACAATCCCCAATTGGGATGTGCTTGTGGCAAGTGGATGCGAGCTTTGTCTTGACTTTGGTTTAGGCCGTTGCCTTTTGTGGTGGCACTGCCATCCGCAGCGCCCCCTTGCCATTTCCCTAACTCAATACGAGCTGGATCTCCCTCGTCTTGTTCCGCAAACAAAGCAACTTTTGCCTCATAAAACTAAAACGTTGGATTTAATTTTGCAAAATAAACACAAAAAACTAGAATATACCCATAGAGTGGTGGGGCTGAGTAACAGCGGGGATATAAGTAAATGTGTCGCTCCTTGGACCAGATGGATTGTGGATTGTGGATTGTGTGGGATATCTAATTCATATATCAGCGCCGCTTTGGCTGATTGAAGTGGGAAGCTTTTATATGCCTGCCCATGAATTGTGCGATAAGTAATGCACACATACAGAAACAATGGCAAAGCACACACAGATACAAATGCCGAGATACCAAAAATACGTACTCGCATACGGCAGGAGATGGAGCTGAAATAAGTGTTGAGAGTGAAACAAAAATAGAAAATCCGAAATGTGAAAATGAAGAGAAATTCATTATTTATTTGGCAGGCAGCAAAATAAAATAGAAAATGCAAATACAACAAATACAAATGTCGGCAGGACGCTGTCGTCCTGAATGGGTCGGGAAAATTCTGTGGTGTTCAAAATCGTTTTTTGAGTTTTGCTTTTGCTGTATTTTTTGTTGTTGTTGTTGCTGCTGCTGTTTGGTAAAAAAGTTTTCTAATTAAAACAACAACTGACAACGCAAAATTGTCAACGTATTTGTGTATTACAAACGCACATACACAGATTAACAAAAACACACACAAGCACACAGCCACACAGATACAGATACAGATGCACAGACAAAAATATATTTGCTAACTACAAAATGCATTGTTAAAACAACTTGCAAAAAGCCAGGAAGGAGAGCAGAAGTACACTCCAACAAATTTACTTGTCTCGGCTAAGTATACATAATGCAAATTTCTGCACAATTTAAATTATATTGTTGAATCGAAGCTTTCCTTTTGGTAGATATATTTTTAGATATTTTTAGATATAATAGCGACTTAGTGGTACATTTTTTTTGTAAGTGTATGACTGGACTACTGCCCTTAGCGTTAGATGCGCCGCTAAAGAGTGAGACTGCTGGAGGGATGTGGGGAATGGACGACGGGAAATGGGAAATGGGCAGTTCTTATTGTTAGCAGTTGTTAGATTAGTTTGACTTTTTTGATCCCCTCCAATGCACTCCCTCATCCGCCCACAACCGCCATACCCTGCTGGCCAAAATGTAAATGTGCAGCGAACCGGCGAGGCAGTGAGAAGCACAACGGAGAGTCGCAAAAATTGTCAGTTGGTGATGGGCTAAAGCAGGAATGGCAGCAACAAAAATACGATCAGACAATTGTTTACATGTAAATTACCTAGGAATCATCAATCATCAGAATAAACAGGACCCAGTGCCGGACAAGAGGGAGACGAAAGCAAAGTTGCAGCTTGTTTTGGCCTGGTCAATGCCGTAATTAGCTGCTTTGAGCTTCATGCTTGGCTTCACTAAAACGTTAATCCCTATGAAGGCTATAAATATTGGAATCTACATGCAAAGAAAATATTGTCAGGAGACAAAAATATATATTGTCAAGTGCTCTTTGACGACCAGGTCATATTGGAATACAAATGGAAAAATCACAGTTGGCCAAACATTTTGTGTAGATAAGATACGAGTTTGTAGTTCAGTATTATTCAGTAGCCCATTTGGAAGCAAAGCGAACGCTTCCATTTATTTAATTCAACAATTTTTTCGAATTTTTTTTGGTTTTTCCATTTTTACAATATGGAAAATTTTGATGAGAATAAAGCATCGCCATCATCATCAGGTGATCATGGCGCACCGTCAGCTTCTCCGCCAGCATCAGGACGATCCACGCCCTACTTTGATTTCGATGAGGCACAATATACATTACATAATTATGAGCCGCCGTTCTCAATGGGACCATATGAGATGAACTTTGATGACTTTGTAAGCAAGAGAGAGAGGGAGAGAGAGGCCTGTCCAAAGGTAACCATTTTTATGTTCTTTTTCCGAATACATTTTAGACAATTTGCAAGCCGTGCCCCCTTGCGACTGATGCTCGGGCCATGGAGGAACTAGCTGGCTGTAACTACACACAGCGCATCCCATACGAGTTGGCACGTTTGGGGCTGGCGAAGCGTCGGGTGCGCGTTTATGCCGATGGCATATACGATCTCTTTCATCAGGGCCATGCCAGGCAGCTGATGCAGGCAAAGAACATATTTCCGAATGTTTATTTAATTGTTGGGGTGTGCAGTGATGAGTTGACATTGAAAATGAAGGGTCGCACCGTCATGGCTGGCCATGAGCGCTACGAGGCAGTGCGCCATTGCCGCTACGTGGATGAGGTGAGTGCCCAAGGCTGATCTATTGACCCTTGTGATCCCTGATCATCTCATCCACAGATTGTTGAAAATGCACCCTGGAAATTGACCTATGAGTTTCTGAATGAGCACAAAATTGATTTTGTGGCACACGACTTTCCCTATGGTGTGGGGGCCGATAATGATATTTATTCTGTGCTCAAGGCACGCGGCATGTTAGTGGAAACCCAGCGCACTGCAACTGTGTCCACCACGGAAATTGTGGGACGTATCGTCAAGGACTACGATTTGTATGTGCGTCGCAATCTAGCCCGTGGCTATTCTGCACAGCAGCTGAACCTTTCATTTCTGTCCGAAAAGAAGGTGCGTCTGCAGATCAAAATGGAGGAGCTGAAAGATCGCGGCAAGCTGATGAAGGGCATCATCGTTGCCAAATGGGAGCGCAAGACTCGTAAGTTAATGGCCGCCTTTCTACAAACTTTCGAACGCGTTCTGCCCACGTTCTGGAACGAGTCAATGAGCAGGATAATGCGAGCCTGGGAATCGATTGCAGCGATTAATGGAGAGGAACAGCCGATGGCGAACGATTCCGACGATTCTGATTCTGATAGTAGATACGGATTCCGACGAGGACTATTATGAATCTGCAACTGAAAGCGCCACCGACACTGACAGTGAGAGTGACATTGAACTCTTCCCGTAAAGATATGCCCACATTCCCCCCCCCACCCACACTTTGATTTCGTTAATTTTGTTAAGATTGTTTTTAAATTTTTTTTTTTTGTTGCATTACACAGTGGGCACAGACGACAAGCCATGTTGGCCCTTGAAAGGGGAAATATAAAATGTTATCCAAGAGTTAAATAAATTACAATTTACAAATAAAACTCGTCTTGATAGCTTCAAGCTAAACAATTAAACAAATTTAAGAGTTAAAAATCTGTGTTTATGAAATATTTAATTCCCTCATAGGCAACATCTTAGTGAGATCATGCAGGCGGTGCAATATATAATTAAATATCCAATCACGAGCACTATATTATCCAATTAGAGATCATTTCCAAATTGCAGAACTTTCAAGTCACCCCCCCAAGCCCCACTAACTGCTTTCCTTGCATTCCTCTTCGCTCTTCACTTCGTTTTGCGCCTTGGCAAAAGTGCCTTGCGGAGCGCACATGGAAAAGTTTTCATTTTGGCTTCAATCAAATTAATTTGTTTATTAGGAACCGAGCAAATACTCACTTGCTCGCCCATCCTGCCTCCGTACTCACACTCCCACTCCCACTCCCACACACACTCCCACTCCCACTTGCAATCGCACTTGCCCCTTCCCTGTACAGTAGTGTCTGTCTGGTCGAATGAATCATAATTTTGATGATTACGTATACGCCACGGGGGCAGAGGCAATGGCATGGTCTCTGGCTCGGCGCCCTGCCACTTTTCCAACATTTCAAGCGCAAATTGCTGTTGTTATTGTGGCAATTGCTCTGCAGCACCAACAACACACACAAAGAGAGAGAGAAAGAGAGGCAGGAGAGCACGAGCGAGGATGATGGGGGGAAACAAAAGTTATTATTATTTTAACAATTTTCCAACTCTTTCGCGCTTGAGCGGCGCCACCGAAGGTCGCGTAATTCGAAAGCAATTTGTTGAAATTAAATTTGATTACGTTTATGGGGCGCCAGCTGCGAACAATTCTGGCAAAAAACTTTCGTCAGTTTCGGCGGAGCCCGGACAACTCTTTAATCGCTCGGTAATTGCCTCAAATTGTCCGACCAACAGACGGACCAGGCCATGCCAAGCCCCGATCGAAATAAAAACCTCCACTCAGTTTCTATCTCTCTTTCCTGTAGCTCCTGTCTGACAGTTGGTCTTGGAATTGGACTTGGTCTTGGATTTGGTCTTGGATTTGGTCTGGGACAGGCACGGGCACGGGCCCAGGCGCAGTCACAGGATAATTAAGTATTTCGAGATAAATGTTTTGTCAAACAAAATGAAATTAAGTTTCAACTTTGGACAGCTCTAGGCCAAGCTAGGCGAAATTAATGATTCCCGCTATCCGCGAGGCGACTATCCGGACCTGGAGACATTAACAACTCAACAACTAATAGATTTTGTTATTTATTTCTTTATTTCAATAATTCTCAGTTGAAGGTTAACGCATTGGAATGGTATACAAGAAAAAATATATATGTATGTATATGTAGTTGGGGGCATCCATTTACTTGGAAGAGAGTTCGTAATTCTCATTGATACCCTCTATATAGGGATTGGCCTTGTCGCTGGCAAACTCACGCTTCAAGTCTGAATCGGGGGATGCAAGCAACTTGCGCAGTTTTTCGTCTAATGGAAATGGGAATACCAGATTAAGATAATTGCTCTTTAACGATTGAATAATGATGCATACCTTGTGATGGTGCCATCAATGGGTGATTAGTCGATCCTTTTTCCTCTGGTTCATCGTCCTCCTCCTGCGGGTACTCTTGCAGCATTAGTAACTTGTCTTCCTCCTCCTCCTCCGCCTCGTTCTCGTTCTCATCTGAGTACTGATACAAAGGCTGAATGGTTGCTACGTTATCCTTTGATATGTTCTTGTGTGTGTCTTTGGCGGCCATGGCAATGACTGCATTAATAGCTACAAAGGATTAAGTGGCATTAGCATAGCTTTTGCTCTGACCTTTCGACCTGTCTGAACCTACGATCCGTAAGCTGTGCCAGCTTATCCATCCACTCAACACCAACTACATTTGCATCGCCATGCAACTGCTTATGGTACGCTCCAAGCAGGTCCTCCCGATTGATAAACCCTGCAAAAGGATTGTACATGCCACTAAATATATGTCGAGGAAATGCAAAGCTTACCCCAAATGGTGGCCAGGATCAACGCGAACAGAATGAAGAGGGGCACACACATACGCGAATTGGGATTCATACTCGGATGATCTTGATGAAAGTCGCCCTTGGAGTATATAAATATATTAATAACTTATATTTTTCTGGATTTTTTCCACTGTTGATTCTGAACTGAAACTAAATTGGGGATTGATGTGAGTCTCCGAGCAATGGCTGGGCTGCTAGAGAAAATGTACTCGTACTCGTATTCGTATTCGTTTTTCTGAAGTGTCTCGCATCACTCCCCTTGCTAATCCGTTTCCGCTTTGCTTTGGCTCGCCATCGCTTCTTCAACGCTTTGTAGCGCTTTTGAGCTTTCTCGGCCACAATTTTGCTTTATGCGGCTGACCACCTAGGCCCACCGCCCCCCACCCCGCAGTGGCGTTGGAACAAGTTGCCAAAAGTTAAAGTTTTTGTGGCTTGCAACAGCAAGAGTAGATGCCCCATCAAGTGCCACGCCCGCACACAATTCTGTGAGTGGAAATCCCACTTGCGTAAACGTTTACCAAGGGTGGGAGCAGACAGAGGAGAAACCAACAAAAATGTTTCTCTTTGAGCGGAGGAGGAGTGGGGGTGGGGCTGGGGTTGGGGGACTCTACAGGCTAACTAAACACAAACGGATGTGCAGATATCCCCCCCCCCCCCAAAACCCAACAACCCAACAAGCCCCTTCACCTACAAGTCCTCTCTTCAATATTTTAAAACCCAAACAATTTTTATAGCAAATTTATCTCAAAATACAAAAAAAAAAAAAAAGTAAGAAAAGAATGGACGGAACAAAATTGAAAAATTCAAAATGAAATGTTTGAGGTTTGCCAGAAATATTTCCAGCATTTCAGTGTGTAAATAGTGGAATATTGTTGCAGTTGCCGTTGCCGTTGCCGTTGCTGTTGCGCTGCTCCTCCAGTGTGCACACATTCATCCATGTGGTACGAATAGATGGGAGCGTGTGTGGGTGGGAGGCCAAAACCAACAAAAATGCCTAAAGTTCTGCCCCACAGATCCCATTCCTTTCCACCCAAAACATAGGCGCTACTCTTTATTAAAATGTCAAGCCATTAAGGGGGCGGGGGAGGGACTGAAGCTGGGGCTAAGAGCTACGGCAAGGCCGGAGGTTTCGGCAATAAAACGGATTCTAACATTTGTCAGCACAGGCTGATTGTTGCCCTTCTTGTTGTGGCCATTAAATGCAGTCTGGTGAGGAGGGATGAGGGGATGAAAACAAAGGCTGGGCCAACAAAATGGCAAATGTCTGAGGGTTCTGAGGATTGGCAGCGTTCCTCTTTGTCTGCCAGTTAAAAACATCTTAAAAGCTACTTTTAACCACAATTATGTAAATATTAACACAAACGAAACATAAGACAAAAGCACAACAGCCCATAAGGAACCAACCCCACAGATACACACTCATACAACCAGTGGAGACCCAGACAAAGACACGAACACAGATACACAGATACACACGCACCGGCATTCAGTGACAGCGACCGGCATTCTCATCCTCTGTGGATTCACTGTGACAGCCACACCTTCGAGTGGAGATCTCAATATGGAAGTTATCAGAAGTTTATTTATTTTCTTTTTTAATTATCCCCAAGGTAAGTAATTATATTCAGCAGTGTCTAGGAGCTATGTAAGTTGCTAGATCGTCTCTCGATATCGAACTCTATGAAATGTACAAAGCACTAAAATGACAAACAGTGAACGAAATCACGTGTGTGCGACTCATCACTAAAGCCTCTTCATAGACTGTCATGGGCAGAACAGCAGGCAGATCCAAGTGCGGAGGGAGGAGGGCCTGGAAGCCAGCAAATGTCTAGAGTGTCGACAACAGAACCATTAGCATCTGGATGTGTGCGAAGCCGCACTGCCGCCCCCTCAAAACGGCCTACCCATACCCCAGCCAAGCCCAGCCCACCCACTCAGTCGCCCAGTCAGGTGTTGAAGTTAATGTCGAGAGTGTAGGTGTGTGTGAGTGATTCTATCTACATATGTATGTGTGTGATGAGTGTTCAGATGAAGAGAGAGAGAGAGAGAGAGACAGGTGTAATCCCCAAGACGGATGCGGACTCAGGCTATGGTAATAAGCAAAGCGGGTCTGGTCTAATACTGGACAGGGAAACACTGATGCGGAGTATTATTGAAAACTGTTAGACATGACAGAAGGTCACGTTTTGTCAAGCCCCGTCAGTCAGTCAGTCAGTCAGTTAGGCAGGCAGTCAGTCAGTCAGTCATTTATTCATTCAGCCAGAGAGTCAATGAAACGAGCAAAAGAAATGCAAAAATGCACAGACGACAATCCGTTTTCATGGCTGATTTAACAAAGTTTGGGATGCTGAAAATGCCACGACAGAGAGGATGAAGATGAGACCCAGACCCGGTGGATGGAGAAGCGACAAACAAGAAAAGGGATTTAGGGGCCACAAGGCAGACGTTGTAGTACCCTAACCAAAGGATATCCAAAAGAATAATTATGCTGAGCTGCCCCAAATAATTAATAAACTAATTACACACATCCGATATACTATATTTATATTATATAATTATGCAGTCATATCCCACACATATCATGAGTCAATGGACTCCGCCAATGCCGAGAGCAGAGAGAGCATCCCCACACAAGCCAGCGTGACATTGATAAAATGTGAAATTGACTAGAGTCTGTGTTGGGAGTCGAGTTCATTGATAAAGAATTCTGCTTTCTATCCGGCCAGCATATGGAGAACGTAACTCCTTCGAGGAAATGCAACAAGGAAGCTGCAGCGCATCTCCTGCATCTTCCGCATCTCCTGCTCACTTGTTGCCAGAAGAAGAATGGAAATTATTTCATTGCAAATATATGTATGTATACTGTACTGTATACAGTACTGTACGAGCAGGGTCTTTGAGTGAGCAAAGAGAATCGAAACCAAAATCACATTAAGCCACCCAAAGAGACTGGGGGAGAGAGTGAAGTGCATTGGGAAAGGGCTGGCTGATGATGGCCGGGGTGGGGTAGGGGAATGCGGGTAAGGCCTGGCGGATAGGGATAGGCGGACAGGTTTGAGGTCTGCCCAGTCCCGCATCCAGTCGCAGATAACCAGTCGCAGTGGCAGTCACACAAATGCCAATTCAGTCACGGGGTCTAAAAATCAAAAATTTGAATTTCGATCACGTCTTCAATTACGTCGAATCGACGTGCATATAAATCAACTCTGTAACAGGCCACACCACCCACTCCACACCCCACATACACTGTCTGATGCCAGCGGGGGGGTGGTGTGGGGTGTGTAGAGTGGAGCGGTGAAGCGGTGGACTGGCAGTCAGTCAGTCAAATGTGGTTTTGTTGCTGTGCCCCTCAGTACACTTGCCTCGTTGTTGCGTTGAGTTTTGTAAATCAAGTGGAAATGCCACACAAAAAAAAAAAAATAGCAGAAGAAAAAAAGATAGGAGAATCGGGCGGGAGGGAGGATGGGGAACAGGAATAGACATGGGGACAGGCAGGAAGCGAACCAGAATGATGATGATGATCCACACGATGGTTGGTTGGTTTGGGTTGGTTTCAGCTGGATTTGGGCAAAAGCACAACCAAGTCAGAGTCAAGAGCTGGGAGTGCTGAAGTGCTGATGTGGCACAAGTGTGTGGGTGTGTCTGCGTGCGGGGCACTCATGCAAAGTGCAGTTGACATGCGGAAATTGTAGGTGCGCGGCACCCGCTCCAGATCCCGCTCACGAACACACCCAAGCGCCCTCCCCACCCACCACACTTCAAGGACGTCACATGACGGATGTCCCGATGGAAAATTATGAAACTGAACTGAATTAAAAAATTGGCCACAAAAGTTAGACCCACCTCAGTCCCCCCGCCCCACCCGGCCAGGCAAGCTGAAAGGAAAAAGGTTCTCTCAGCATGGGGCAGCCTTTTCTCGAATTATTTTTCATTAAAAATTTAAATTTCTGGCCAAGACATGCCATTGGGAACTTGTTGTTCAATTCCCCCCCCCCATCACGCTGATTATCCTCGTCAGCTATCGTATCCCTGCCACACACACACGCCCACAGAAACACAATCCCAGTGAGGAAAAGAGACGGAGATGCACACACACTCTCAGCAATGACAACATGTCCTGTTGTTGCTGATGTTTGTCGGGAATTTGATTTGATATTCACCAGCAACTGCAACAGAATGGGACACAGAGAATCGGGCATGGCGAAAGGCGTACACACATACGGTGGCAACGAAGTTGTCCTCGTCAATGTTGGCACTGCAACCTCCATTTCCATCTATCCGTTAGATCCTGCTGCTCCTCCTACTACTCCTGCTGCTACTCCTGCTCCTCCTACTACTCCTGCTGCTACTGCTACTCTCCTCTGTGAAATGCCATGGCCCTGCCATTCGCTTGAAATTACTGACAACTGCTTCAAGCAGCAGCAAAGTTGGATTTGCATGGCCCTGAGCGAGCAGCCTGTCTCTGTGTAAGTGTCTGCCTGTCTGCCTGGCTGTGTGTGTGTGTGTGAGAGATGTCAGTCATTGGCACAAGTGCACATATCAGGGTGATTCACTGCATTAAGAGATCATATTTACGAGTACGAGTACGAGTACGGCATGTTGATTGAGAAATTTCCAAAGGAAACCTTCAAGAAAACCATTGAGGGACCACGATGGGCTATATGTACACAGGTACATACATAAAACATACATACATACATATATTTTCAGTAAATATATTGAATGCATAATAAATTAATTAGAATACATTTAAATATATTTTTGATAAAAAAAAAAACCTGGGTTTTTTTCTGTGTTACGTTTATTAATTGCAGCTTATGAAATTTGTGCTTGTGGCAAGCTGGAAAACTGCACCGTAAATTTATTAAATTATATTCCATATTTCCAAAATGATATCAAGTGATTCACCGTAATGTACATATGTGCACAAGCCCACCCGAAAAAAAAAAAACCAGCATCTTGCTACACATACATTTGTCTGAGGCACAGCAGCCCAATCCTCCTTCCAGCTTCTGCCTTTGATGTCAGCATGGGGCATGGCGGATTGGAGATACGGCAGGGGCGCTGTGAGGAGTGCAGTGAAGTGAAGGGAAAGGAAAGGAGACGACTGTGTGACAGCTTTCTTGAGATGCACTTCACGTGCATTTGACTGCTTAAATAAATTTTGCTC